TGTTAACTAGCGCTGCCGCTAGGTATGATTCATAACAGCACGAACCAGAGTGCTCTTGTTAACCTTTTCACTGTTGGGATCTGTTTACATGACGTGACACTGAGAGTGGCAGACGTATCGCTTCCAAACGTCGCTGGAACTGAGCCAGCACGTTAGACACGTCCACAGGCCCCAGGAAAGGCACTGGGCCACGGGTGTACTCGTCTTCAGTAGTTAAAGGGTTAACGAGGAAATTGTGTGTACGGTATAGCCTCGATCTCCCCTAAGCACTATTTTCTTCATAACCATTTTTTCTATTTTCATTTTATTTCAGAGCATCGTGGGCCACAAAAAATTACCTCGGAGGCCACATGTGGCCCCCAGGCCACCAGTTTGACATCCCTGATCTAGAGCAATTAGACTGTCCCACCCTAAGTAGGGCCCACTGCCTTCTGATAAAGCTAGATTGTTCCCCTGAAGGAGGGCCCTGGGAGGTCAAACCCACTCAAGGATGACCAAGGTTAGGTTGCCACATTGAATCTGGGGTCCGCCCACCTTGTGACATCATGGCCGTCCAGGAGGTGAGCATGTTACCGGGAAATGTGTCTGACTTCTTTATTTTACCCTCTCTTATTCTCTATGACTTTACTATAATCTTTATATATATTTTAACCATACGATTGAGCTTATCGGATGCATGATTAGCTGTTGGGGGGCTGGCTTCCCCCACAGGTACACTGGGTGGCAATTCTCGAGGACCGGAGGGAAGTTGAATGATCCCTGCGCTCAGCCACCTAGTCTGGGAAACGCAGGCCAAGAGCGGCCAGAGGGCTCTTGCGAGGTCACACAGCTCCGAGTTCGTGTCCCGAGGCCAGCATCGCCATGGTTGGAATGAGAGACAAGAGGGGCTGAGCTGGCTGGCACCCCTCAGCTTACTCCTCATCTCCCCATCCTACCGTCCCACTACTCCCTTGGCCTCATCTCTCTCCCCCTCTGTCCTGGGCTGCTGGACCAGAAATACCACAAGTGGGGGCTTTCACAAACAGACTGATTTCCTCACAGAGGGCCGGAAGCTCAACCTCACAGTACCCCCTGGAGTGGGGGGGGGCTCTGGAGCAAAAACCAGGTCTCTTGTGAGCGTCTGCTTTGGGTGGTGTGGATCTTTCTCCCCACCCTCTGCACGAATCTCACTGCTTAACCTGCTCCGGGTCTCAAAAGAAATGAACTCAAGACGTACCCCTACACAAATCCTGTCTCAGTAACCTAACAGAGATCATTCTCTCCCGAGGAGGGGGACCCCAACCACGGTATTGGGGGAGAAGCCCTGGTGGAGCGGTGGTCACAGGGGCCCAGGGTCAGCAGATGGAAACCACCAGCTGCTCCGAGGGTGAAGGATGAGGCTTGACTCCTGTAAGAGTGACCGTCACAGGGCTTCTGGCCCTGCCTGTGCTGTCACTGAGAGTGGGGATGGGCTCAATGGCAGTGAGGTTGTTTAAGCTCGGCGTTCCAAAGCGGAAGGAAGCAGGCCCCAACACAGCGGGCCTGGTAACTGCAGGGGAAGGCAGGGGCAAGGAGGCAGAGCACAGCCCGCAGGCCCCTTACCTGTGCTGGTTTGGCCATGTTCTCAGGTTCTATAGCAGGAAGTTCTGTGGAGAAGAAAGAGACATGAGATTCCCCCACACTTGGCTCCCCTTCGCTCTCTCCCACCCACCTTCCTCATCTTTCCTCCCGCCCAAGCAAGCGTGTCCCGCCTGCTAGTCTCCACCTGCCCCAGCCCTCCAGGTTAAATCTCAAGGCCTGACTCGGGGCCAGGGACATTTTTCAGGGACCAGGCAGTGTCCTGACAGTAGCCACTGGGCTGGGACAAGGACTCAGCACCAAGAGGGGGCGAAGGCACGGCCACTGGTCACACACCCAGACTGCGCACACGTGTTCCAGGCGGCCCTGGTCCCATGGACCCTCAAAGCTGTCCTTCTAGGCACCAGACTCCCCTTTTTCGCAGACTGAAGGGGCTCGGCTGCTTCCAGCCTGCAGGCTGGACACCTGATGCATGCTCACTTAGAGTTAATGCAACTATTTCCGGCGTTCTTATTGTTTGTCGCAGGCCCGGCCTCTCTCTCTGGGTCACTCAGAACCCAGGGCGTAATGGTCTGCAGGTGCGAAGAGGCCAGGAGGTCCCAATCACA